CTGCATGAATATTTCAGATATTTGTTTGTATTCCTTGGGTGAATTTTATTAGGCCTGATACTTGGAAAATATTAGGTTCATTTAAGTGATATAGCTTACCCATTTTTTCTTTTTTTTTTTTTTTTTTTTTTTTTTTTTTTTTTTTTTTTTTTTTTTTTTTTTTTTTTTTTTTTTTTTTTTTTTTTTTTTTTTTTTTTTTTTTTTTTTTTTTTTTTTTTTTTTTTTTTTTTAATTCTGTACAGTTCTTGTCTACATATTTCTGGTGCTAATTGTTCTACTATATCATCTCAGTTCAATCTTTGATGAAGAAGAAATACACAGAATTATATTAGAGTCCTTTCTTTTGGCATCATCACCTCTTAGTTTTCTCTCTACCTCAAATAATATATTCCCCAAATGCAATATTTCTCATTCCCAGACAATCATAACAGTTGTAAATTTTGTAGTGTGTAGTATTTAGAAATTTTTCTTAAGCCACTGTTTGAATGACTATAAAATGTACATCCATATTACATGGTCAAAGGAGTGACTATATAAATAAATCAGATTACACTCCTATCTATAAGCAGAAAGCAGTAGAAGAAAATTTATTATCATTTATCCTCCCTTTCTTTATCTGTGGGTAAAGGCTTATGGAGCTCACTGTGATATACTTCTTACTCAGCTTTAGAGCAATGAACAAGCCTTAAGTCTACCAAGCATTTGTTGCTCTTTTGCTTACCAGATGCTAATTTTGATAGCAAACCACCTTCCTAGCTCTGGTCTGGCTGCTGCCTCCAGTGTGCCTCCCTTGCATCTGAGCCATCGCAAAATTCCTGCTCAGAAGAGGGGGAGAGCAATTGTGGAGGTTTTTATATCAACTCTGCCTTTTCCCAGTGGAAGCTATCAAAGTATTTCCACTTCTTGAAACATAAGTCAAGGGTGGCCATTTCACTGTAGGAAAAGAGTTGAATGAAGGAACAACAAGGCTCATGACAATGAGAAAAAATGAATACTGTAAATCCTACTGCTTCCTAAGTCATGGGAACCATACGAGGCAGGAAACAAAGTCGTCCAAGACTCATAGAAAAACACAATTCACACAGAATGCAAGAAACATAAATACGTTACTGAGGATGATATATGCACAACTTGCTATCAACCTCAGTGTTATGCCAAAATGGAAAAGACTGTCCAGGTATCAGCATGTGGCACTCAAAGCATTTTCATTTCATTTTGTTTCTTATTCTTGCACTTTTTCCTCCTCAAAAAAACTCCACGTGAGTTCATGGATGCTTTGCAAAAGAAATTCAGACAAGCATCACAAGACAGATTATTTCCACTGGTCAAATTCATAAGCCTTTTCCATACCCCAATATTAAATATCCACAGTAAAAAAGCATTACGATTAAACTGGAAGGACAAAAGGAATAAATAACATCCATCTAAGTTTCAGGTTACGCTGTGGAAAGACATTCAACACACAAATTTAGTACTTATGCATGAAAATCCAATTGACACGATAGGTTACAGCCATTCCAAAGAACCCATTACGGCCCATCATGTAAATGGTTACACATAACGACACAGCCATTACGGTCTGCGGGGCTCTGCATCAGTGAATTAAAAATTCTCTACCAAGAACAGACTTTGAGCGAACAGGCTCAAAGGAGCCGTTACAATAAACTATGCCAAGACCTGTCTTAGTAACTCTCCCAGTTATACATTAGCCCACCAACACAAGCTGAATTGCTAAATTTCGGAAAGGTTTCGTTACAGTACAGAAAGCAGAATTAAAAGTCAGTATCCTTGAATATGTATCGTATAGGTATAGCTGTCCTTTGAGGTTTCAGGTAAGAGAATAAGCTGTCTCAGATGTCAGTTGCACATAATTCTTAGAGAGTAGATTCCCTTTTTCCCCTTTGTCCCAGTCCTATCAAGTAGGGCATTTACACGGGAAAGGAAATAAGATCAGGGCCAATACTACCTCTTTTAAACTGCTTTGTGTTTATATGTCTGTGTCTTATCCTTAGCACAGAAAAAACCTGTTTATGGGAAATAATGTAACAGGAACACTGCCCATGAAATCTTGGACCTCCTACTACTACTTTCTTTAAGAGAAACAATAAAACTTACGCATATTTTTTAACAATATATAATTTTTCCATTGCACCTCTCAGTTCTGAAGTTCTGCTTTAGCTTTGCATAGTTGCTGCAAGGTAGTAATATTTTACTCACTGCATGGGTAGCTATAGTGGTAAAAAACCAATCCAAACAAAAAGGCAAGAAAGCTAAAATCTGAACACTGGGAGCACCTAGTTGTGTCTTGTGCTAACCAGTGAGTTATTAGTGATGCTTCACTTAATGTGTATGTTCTGTGCACTCTTTCCTTGAAAGCATGCTTTTCTTTCAACAAAGTCCCCAGATAGGAATAAAGACTATTTAAAAGAAGTTTGCCTTTTCAAACCTTTTAAACAACTACAGCATTGTCTGATGTTGAGACTTCTATTTTGAAACATAAAAGGGGCCTGATCATCACACCCTAAAAGCACCTGCATTCTAAAACTTCTGCTAGATTTTTGCAGAAACCTAAATGTCAGCTCCCCAGATATTAAAGCCCAATTATTCCTTTAAGACTCCTGACTTTTTAAACCCCTTCCCCAGACAGCAACATTACACACATTTTTCAAGGACATGGGAGTTTTTGCTGATGGCCTGTAGTTCCCCAGATACTCACCCATCTGGTATTCCTTTTAGGATATTTCTCTGTAGACGGATAAGACTGCAATTTGGATCAACTGTATAAAATCCCTGTGCATCCCCTGGCTATCCATGGTGATAGCAGCCCTCTGTACCCAGTAGTTCTTCAGAGATGCCATTTGCAGTGCACAGTGCTGTGCAACAGCAAAGCAAAGCTTCCAATTCCCATTTCAGGTAAACACTGGTTCAGATCACTTGAACAGGGCAACACTTTATCAATATCACTAAGAGATCAGAGCCTGTCCAAACCCCCAAGCTTTAAGGTTTTTATTAATTATGGTGGGGCTGATGGAAGCCTATGTCTCTTTTCAAACAAATTATCTTTCAAACATCTCTATCTCAGCTCTCTGTTTTTTTTTTCTCCAGGGTTGCCTCTTTATTTTCAAGGGAGAAAAAAAAAATGTGTTAAATTCTTTACATGCAATAGGCAGGCACTGAACTGTGAGCATAGCCAAATCCCATGGTGACTGAATGTCCACAGCCCAATTTACTTCACTCCTCCTTTCAATAAGCAGGAAAGACAAAGAATGGAACAATCTACTGCTTGCTGCTCAGTTTCAGCAATGAGTGGGGAGGCAGAACCATCTCTCACTCTGTGCAGACATTTTTCAGCTGCATGCCCTAAAATTGAAATTTTGAGATGTTTATAAATAAGTAAAAACCTGCCTGTATTTAATGCAATGTGATATTTGCATAATTACTTTTCAAGGTAATGAGTGTAACAGAAGCCAAACCACAGAAGGTTGAATATCTTTAGAGCAGCCTGTGCCAACAAATAAACACAGAACTCTTGTATCAAATTGCAGAGCAGTTTAGAACCAGAGTAATTTATTTAGGGAACAATAAGCATCTCTTTGTGCTGGGCAGGTGGCCAAGGTGAACAAATGAAAGACATATATGTAATTGAATATTAGATGAGCCATCATTTCATTTCACCACCATTTATCTCTTGGAGTATCTGTAACCACCCCTGCTGAACAGAACATTACAGAATAAAGGTGCCTGTCAAACTACCTCCTCCAAAGCCAAGCAAACAGTTGGGCTGAAGCAAATAACAACAATTTGAAAGGGAATATTCTGAGCTGGTGGCCACTCTCTTTGTTAGGTGATGAAATCAGGACCAACATCAGTCCACCACACAAAGAGCTGGTCAGCGACATCTCTGACTCCCTGGATAGATGGTAAATCATCTGGCAGGTGGGAGGTGGGTGAGGGGTGCAGATAGCTAAACTATATGGACACAAAGAAAGCAACTGGCCCACCTGCACAGGCAACCCCAGAGACACAGGGGCATCAGCAACTTAGTCAAGGTTTTATCATCCACTTACTGCATAACCCATCAGGGAGTAATTAATATCAATATTATCCAAGAGTCTGAGGTGTCTTCTTCAAGACCTTTACAGAACTTTGGAGAACATTGCTCCATCAGTAAAACATTATTTCTACACAAGAAGAGGTAGTAGTGGTCTTTGGGGTCCTAAATATTTTGACAATTCTGACTCAAAATATTTCCAGTGTTTTCTAACATAGCTGGTGCTTGGAATGGGAAGGGACTCACAATGTACCTACAATGTGTAAAAGTGACCTGATAGATGAACTGAAACTGAAGCACCCAGGTATTATTTTAAGTCACAACATTTTAAGAAAATAAAGAAGAGCAACAAATATGTAAGGAGTTACAAACACAACCTGTTAAAACTGCTCTGTTTTGGACTGTAACGTTATGATCTAGTGCTGCTGAGAAAAAAGTTCTAAAAACTAGGAGGTTCTGCAATCACAATTAGAAGAGAACACAGTTTTTAAAAAGAATTATTAAAATGTTTTTAACAAAGTCTCTTCTTTTTATAAATGCAAACCCGCAACTTTTAAGTCTCTCAAAATGCTTCTTAAGTTAAAACCGTCTGGATAATACAGAGTTTGAAAATAGAAGCAGAACTCTCTCTCCCTATATAAATTATATATATAAGAAAAGACAGACTAGATACCAGCAAATAAAAATTACAATATAGGGGAAACACATGTCCATGCAAAGATTTTTGGCTGCTTGCTCCTGCCATAGAAAACAGATTCAGAAGTGATATGTAACTGCAAGACAATTCAGGTTCTGAAATGTAATGGTAAACTGTATACAGTAAAGACAAATGAAACCACTGGAGATCAGAGAGGATTCATTTACACAGAAAAATTGAACATTAACTTGTCTGTTGTGCTACTGAGGACCTCAAGCTTCCACTAACGTTATCAGGAATGTTAATGTGTGTAGGAGAACAAAGTACTCCATATCCATCTAAATGACAGCAAAGGAAAAAGTAACAGCCTGCCTGAAAGGTGTAAATATCTGAGAGGAAGAGGAATAACTTACCAGGTAGTATCATGTCACCACAGTGTTCAGAAAGCACTGCTTTGACCTAAGCAGCTGGTGTTATACAAAATTTAAATCAACAGTGAATATGTTACATATTGCAAACTTTTTTCAGGGACAAAACTGTTTCCAATGATTCCCAGTATTAGAGAGTGTCCACAGGCTTGCCAGTCTCATCCAGTAAGGAATATTTCAACTTAAGGAGGAGAAGGAGAACTTTTTCTTTAAAAGGACATTTACTGGAACATGCATGCCACAGGAAGGTAACGTGTCAGATTGAAAGCTCAAAACAGAAAAGTCTTGTCCCATCGGTGACTCAACAAGAGAACAGAGCACCATGACCAGACCCCACTACCACGGCCACATAGCAAACCTACAGCTCAAATACCTGGGAAACCATTTTGAGTTTGTTTCCTGGTATGAATTCTTGCTTTGTAAAATTGTAATGTTTTGCTTTCTCAGCTGCATAGAATTTGTGTTTCAACCATTTATTACTTCGCTAGGCTCGAAGTGCTTCAAAAATTCACAAGAAAATTTGGTTCCTTTCCCTGCATTTCTTTTGCCATACATATGTTAAACAACACTTCAGAGAGACATTTCAATTGTCAAGAGCTCTCGCAGCCATACATCAATCTTTTTAATAGAGTTCACAGGGGCTTTTTTTCCCCCTTCTTCACAATAGTAACTAAGACAGACTCTATAAATTCTGGGATTTTGGTCTGCAAATAAAAATCTCCTGGACGTGCCCTCGCATTTATGAATTTGTTAGTTACTATGGGATTTTTTGCATTGCTTGTTTTTAGCAGCTCATGGCAGGAAATAAATAATAGTAAATCTAAGATCAAGTCATTAATTCTACTGTAACTCAAATGCAGTAAGAATATATCAAAGGCTCATAAGCTGAAGGGGAAAAGATTTTTTTTTTAAAGAGTCTCAAAGCATGCATTCCCAAAATCATTTAGACATATCAGTGACTTCTCCAGAATTACCTTTTTTTCCCCCAGAAAACACACTGAGCAGAAATGAAATTGTATTTGCTGGCAATTTTACCCTTTGAGACATTCAGCTTTTCATCAGAAAGTCCTCACAGAAAACATTATTTCTTCATTTTAATCTCACTGAATATATACCTGATTTACACAGTCAGCTCTGAATGGGCAAACCCTTGTTCTCCCAACACTGTTTATCTGAAGGTGAGAAGTCAAAACGGGGTCATAAGAAAACCTAACCATCCAGAAACCAATTTTTCAAAGCAATTTCTGACCATCATAAGACAATACAAACTAACGGTGCAGAACTCAATGCTCCAAGAAATCCTCTTAAGCTAAAGAACCAGTGGCTTTTGGTCATGAATTCTAAGCACTCTGCACTCAGTGCATAACAGGTGGGGTGGATGCTCTTGTATCGCAGCTCAGAAAGTGATCTGTGTAAGAACAGGCAGGTTATGAAAGCTCTGCCTGCTGTGCTACCCAATGTCTCGAACAGGGATCAGCAGCAAACACAACAGTGTAGGAAACAGTGTAGGAATGGTGATATTTTCCAAGCTTTCATAAGGCACGGCTGAAGGGTTTTGCAAACCACAGAGAGCTTCCTGGTACCCAATAGCTCACAAGAATCTTCTTCTTTGAGTTTGTATCCTGCCATTTAGAGACCCTGACAACATTTTGCCTGTGTTAGATACCTCTGTGGCAAGGACTTTCCCCCTCTTCAGCAGCAAAATCAAACCTGAGTTTAGAAGTTCACCATACTGGTCTGAGGTTTAAAATTTCTTTCTACCAGATAAAGCATCTAATATTGCTTAACTTCTCTATAAATGTATATAATCATGCAAAAATATATTTCAAACAACTCATATGGAACAAAAATAAGGCATCTGTAAAGGGACTTTCTAACAGAAGTGCCAAGTGAATCTTGGTGAATCTTGTTTATAATTTATCAGGCGTGATATCTGGAACTTTGAAAGGTAATATTCATTAAAAGAGTTAAGTTTTTCCGTAATTCACCTGTATTGATATATATTTACATATGCCTGAGTGATCTTCTCTTTAAATATTAGCACTGGCCTAGCTTTCCTTTGGGCAGTTACACCTTCGTAATTTTCCCAAGCTTTATTCAGAAGTAGACATGGTAGAAAATGCTTTAGATAATTCTTTTTAAAACTCTGCGGTACAAGTTACCTCTACTTGTTAAATTTTAAAAAATTCCCTTTTAGGGAGTGATATTTATCAGTCTTGCTGTCAATGGTGAAAAAATAAAATAGAAATCTGTTTGGAGCATAAATTATGGAGTTGTGTCTTCCAGTCAAGGAGAAAAAAGTTCTGCATTTTCTGCATTTCCATGAATAGACTCCACCCTAAACATACCCTATGGTAAGAATTTAGAAATGAATGAGGCCATCACATTGTGGAGCGATTTGGTAAAAAATTGGTGGTATTATCTTGTACAGGTCTTTTCTCATCAAACACTTACCTAGTGAATTATTCACTGAGGAATAAACTTCAAGCAAGCCCTCAACTCGTGTCCCAGTTTTGTTATAAAACTAGAAATCAAATCATCACAGGCTTATCCAGCCAAACATCTACTTGAATCAGTTTAACACATTAAAAGTAGCTAAAACAAAATAAACCAATAAAAAAGCCCTCTCAGCTGAATTTATTTGTAATTAAACACAACAGACCAACTGTGCTGTGCACCTCAGGAAACTTCAGGGGCTGCAGAAAGCTCCAGATTAGATTACTGTGTATCACTCACAAATCCACCAGGAATTACGCTCGGCTACAGAAATGTTTTGCCTCGTGTTCCACGTGGAGTTTCTCAAGATGGTCAGTCAGAAAATTCTGCTCAACAGTGCTGTTACCCTTAGCCTCTTCTTAACATTTTCACCCAAAGTAAAAAAAAACCCACAAAAAAAAGAGTTATTTCTGAGTGAGGAAGCGAGACTGAGAGTGATTTAAAAAGTCCAAGGTAATATATATCCAAAGGTTAGGAATGTTTGCTCTCTCTCAGACCCAAATCATTTCCCTTTCCCTACCAGCAAATGTATTTGACAACAAAGGTATCCACAGTACTTAATGCAGCACATGGAAATGGTCTTTTGAGAATCACAGTGCTGGGCTTCTGAGTCCTGAGCACCACAGGATTGAGGGCTTTAGAGACACTGTTAATACAATACTGAAAGTGAGCTGATAGAACAGCCTATTCCGTGGGATATTCTAAACTCAGTATTGTGTTAATGAAACAATTTAACATTTTATTAACATGGGAAATAACAGTCTGGTTGTGTCTGCTCAAAGCAGAACTCTCTGAAGCCGCTTGGAACCTATTGGAGGACAGAGACAACCAACACATAAATACTGGGAAAATATGAGGTCATCTACTCAGCCACTGGAAAGTTTACTGGATTACCTCTGGCAAGGCCAGACAACTTGTACATTCAAAGTTTCATTCAGATCTATTTGTAAATTAATTTAATACATCAGGGCCACCCTGCCACCCATCTTTTATAAAACAATACAATGAAGATATAATCACATTTCCATATTCCAATTTCCTTCCCTGGTTAGGTGGAAGTGCAACTGGAAAGCTGAGGACAGTGAGAAGCATTTTCAGGATAGACCTTGAGCAATCTTGACCACTACTTGTCTGATCAAAACCCCTCAATTAGGCTTTGCACAAAGGGCTGGATGGAACTAAAATCAAATAATATTCATTTCACCACCCAATAAAAGCAACTCCTAGCTATCTGTATCATTAGCCTGATTTCAAATGCAAATCCTGGTGCTCAACAGAGAAGAATGATTCTTATTTCAAGGGTGTTTTCTCACCTCCTGCCAATGTGAGACTAGTCAGCACGACATTGATTAGAGGAACTGAAAGTGCCAGAGATGTTGAAAGGGAATGCATGGCAATTTCATGGTCATTGAAGACTAATCATATTTTTCTAGCGAATAATCACTACATGTTCAATGTTTCATTAAAAAAAAAAAAAAAAAGGAGTGGACAAACCACCCTTCATTTTCTTTATCATAAAACCTAATTAAACACTTATAGAAATATATATATATAGTCTTCTGTTTACTTTATACAGTTCTTTCTTCCTTGGGCTACGAATTGGGGTCCTCTCCCTCAGGTTCCCTCTGCCTACAGGTTACACAGCAAAATATAAACTCACTGCTCTGGGCTGAGTTCTGGCAGGCAAAGGGCACCTAAAAAGTAGATGTTGCAATACCTGCCCCTGCACTGTGAAATGTGCTGTTCCATTTATTATAACTGCACTTATCTCAGGGACTACATGCATCATCCAGGGCAGGTATGAGTTTACAAAAGCCCTGTACATGTCTTCCTTTTCAAGAGGTGGGTATAACCTACTTTCTCTCGCTGCTTTGTGCTTGTGAAGGTAAATAACTTCAGCAAGAAGATCTCTCTCAGAGCACATTGACTGGCTCAGTTTCATTGGCCAGTCAAGCTTGCTAAAGAATATATTTTAATAGGCTACCATCTGCAACCTTCCCATTATAGCCTCTCTCCCAGGATGTGTGATATCTGACAACTTTGTTAAATGCATATAGGAGTAATCTACCATGCAACATTACTTCAGAGTGTCACACGCTGGAATTCAAATTATGCCATTCCTTTCTCAAGAGAAAATTACCATAACTTCAAGGCGGAAAGGAATTCTGAGAGTTATGATGTGTTATGATGTATCTGAAACGAAGTTTAAATCTCTACATTAAAATCAAAATTATTTTGTGGCTTAAGGGGCACTCAGAGGAAGGTGATCAAGCAAATGGAAACAAAAATTTCCATGGACTTGCAACTTCACTAAGAAATCTTGCTCACCATTGCAAGGAACAAAGAGTTCACCGGTTCAATTCTTTTCTTCCTCCTACAGCTACTGAGAATGAGGATGACCATTAACTGTTTATGTTGGAAGGGACCTTAAAGATCATCTCTTTCCAATCCCCTGCCATGCACAGGGACAACTTCTACCAAACCAGGTTGCTCAGAGCTCCATCCAACCAGGCTTAAACACTTTCAGGGATGGGGCAGCCACAGCTTCTCTGGGCAACCTCTTCAGTGCCTCACCACCCTCATAGGGTAGAATTTCTCCCTAAAATCCAATCTAACCCTGTCCTCCATCAGTTTAAAGCCATTATCCTTTGTCCTTTCACTACACACCCTTGTCTCTAGACCTCTTATTAGATAATGATATCACAAGCGTCAACTTAGTACCTTCAAGCTCTATTTCACAGCATCTCATTCCTTGGAATCACATTTTTCTGTAGGCTTTTTCTTTCCAATTAATAGAATACAGATTCACCAAGAGTTTTAAAAATTATTTCCTTAATAGCTCTGCTTCCTCCCTTCACAGATACTAATTAATTTTGCACTGCCTTTCAAGCGTGAAGATTTCATTGCAGAAACATCAACAAGTCAATAACCAAGCACAGAGAATCTACTGTGCTAGGTTCTGGGGATGGATACCGTGATGAAAACTGTTTTTCAGAAGAAAAAAACCAAAGTGTAAAGGTCAATATAGCTCTTTGCACTGACATCTTATTTCCTCATTCCATTTAACTATGCAGATCTCGAAATGCACTGAGGAGATAAAAACGGGATTTATGTTGTGAAACTTGAAGTTAAAGCCAAGGACCACACAAAGAAAAAAATCCTGAAGCAAAGTTAACGATCTGGTATGAAAGAAAACAAACAGTGTGAAATAAAATAAAAACTACAGCAGGCCAGTACTTGACCAAACAAATAAACAACCCTGGGAAAACATAACATTAGGTGGACAATGTACTAAAAAAGAGTTGGGGAGAACTCTTTCCCTCAGAAGCTCTTTCCCATCAGGAGCATTAAAGTGGATTTACAGCAGCGTAGGCAGGAGCTCAGTTTCCCCTGAAGACTACAGGCCACAGGGGAGGAAAATGTATGTTCTTATGGATCAATGAATAATAGCAACCTGTTCATCCTCACAAGCTGCAGTGGAAATTAACTCATAAAAACATATGCAATTGATTTTCATTATCAACTCCCATTATCAGCTGTCAAAAATCATCTTTTGTAAGGGACTGCAAACGAATTTTCTACTTAAAATAACATTATCACCCTCAGAGAAAAAAAATAATGGGCACGGAGTATTTCACCATCCACAAATTATCTTTAACTGCTAAATTAGAGCAGTTCCTTGAAAAGTTGGGGTTTTTTTAGGTGAAAGCTGCAGTTCTGATTAGTCCTGACTGCGTGGTGGATGTTCACTGTTAGATATCTAAATTAGAAACTAATTTTGAAAATGTGTCTTAATATTAAATCCAGATTAGATGTCAAACTTTAGGTACCTGGGGAGGAAAAGTATGAACTTTCAGTAACATTAATATTAGAACATAGTCTTGCAGTACTTTTTTCTGCACACCCTTCAATGAAATGTGACATTATGGGAAAGCAAGCAAGGATTTTTAATGTTTTAAGTTCTGTTAAGCTATGCTGTTAAGCCTTAATTCTTAGTGAATCCTGTGTGAATATCACACAGCTCTCACAACATTTTGTCAGCCACATAATGCAGTTTTGTGTCAATAGAAATTTAAGAGTACCTAAACATACATGGCAAAGTCCAGAATGAAACTGAGTGAATATTTTGGGACCTAAGAAGCTAAAAAGAAACTGATGAGTTCCTATGCTCACTCTGTTCCTTCTCTTCTCCATCTAGAAAAAGAGATGAACTACCATCTGCCATTAGGTATCCACCGACAGTGAAGATGTTCCAAAATACATTTCTCTTACACAAGAAAGAAGAGCACTTATTATCAGACTTTCTGCCCAAAACCTTTCAGTTAAGGTTCTGTCTTAATATCAGATAAAATCCTAGAAATAGGAAGCAAGTCAGACACCTGTTTTAGTGCCAAGAAAGATGTTCAAAAACTCTAAAATATGAAAGACTTATAGGAGCTAGAGAGCTATATGCTATAGCTGTCTTATCTGACCAGCACCATAACACAGTCTGCAGAATGTGTTTCCACCTTCTTAGGCATGAGTTTTTCTATGTAAGATTTCAGTGGGGTCCTTAAATCGTAAACATCTCCAGCATTTAATTACATGTACTACTGATTACAAATTTGATAAGGTTTCAATGCTCAGCTGCAAAATCTATTTTTTATCTAGAGGGATGAAAAACGTCTTCCTCACAAGAGATATACTAACCCACCTGCCAACAAATCACCGTCACAAAAGGCAGGCATGGCTTTGATGCTTAAATCATGTCATCCTTTACCTATCGTGTACCAGATTAAACTCAAAGCCTCATTACAGTTGTGATCATTAAGTTCAACCTGGCTAAAAGATTGTCACTGTCTCCTGGCTTACGTCTCCCAAGGCAGCTGCTTTCTTTGGGTGGAATGAATCTCTGAAAGGACGGGGTAAAGCACATCAGACATAACAGAGTCATCCAATCAGCTACTGCAGACAACCACATCACATAACTCTGAGCATAATAAAATCCATCCTAACACCAAATGTGCTCATGTCCCCTCTGCTCCTGTAAATGGCCACTCCAGATCCTAATTCCATTCATAGTTCTTCCTAATTTCCACCATAAATTTATTCAGGGGCACTGTGCACTCATTTTTTGTTGTGCCAGCCTTGTTCATCATCTACAATAGCTCTTCCAACCTCCACAGTGTTTATCCCTGAAGTTTTTCTAGAAAAAAAAAAATAAGATCTTCTCTCCACCTTTGTTTTTTGGCTTGAAATATTATTTTTAAACCTGAAGATACTGACATGGCCATTTCTGCTGTTTTGTGAGGGGGGAAGAGAAAGCAAAGTCTTTTTAAAGGCTGCCTGCTACTGTAGGACTCTCTTCTAAAATCATTCCCTCCAGAAGAAAACTTGGTTCCTCTAAGGACAAAACGAAACTTGCATTTCCTTGCCATGTGCAGTAAGAACATACATGCACAAAACCTGTGCTGCAGCCTTCAAGACCCAGGCTGTTTGCTGAGGTGTCTTTGCTGCCCCAGGCTGAAAGTGTTGATTATCACATTTGTGCTTCGCTATGAGCAAGGCTACGCTTTCAGAAGATATTTATACAACCACAGGGAAAGTAATTAGGATGGATATTGCCACTAGTTGTTCAAATCACTTAATCACACTTTTCTGCTTTGAGCTAGGAATTATTTATCATAATTTCCCTGACAAACTAAATGTAATACATAGTGTTTCTCATTTTAAGAAGCAAGCTTTTTCTATCAAGTATTTATCTTTGTTTGAAATGTTCCTGTTAATACCGAGTCTACAGATGAATAAATTTATATTGACAGGGATAATACATGATTCAAAAGTGAAGCTACTGTCATTTTGAATATTTAGAGAAATATTTTATTCTGAAATACTAATACTTTCAGGATTCTACTCCTACAGCAGTATTCCAAATTAATTGGCAGGTCACATTTTCATTTCATTGCAACCTAAACAGAAAATGGCTTTGCATTTTCATAAATGTATTTTTTTAACTATTTCTAATAGTTTAAATCAGCATATATAATTAATTAAAGCTTGTATCCAGCTGGCTCCTTTCCACAGATTAGAAATGACACAGATCTTTCTGCAGCATTATGTTGTTGGATAACTCTATTACAGACACATGAGAGTATTCTAAATTATTTCTGTTTGTATGTGAAAATTAGTATTTGCTATTTACGTATACTCCTTTTGGTTTTCTTTGCCAGTATAGTCATTCCATTTTTCTTTCCACACTGCCCAGCTCTCTAACATATACTTCCCACAAAAAGTATGTATGAGCTGAGTGCATTACAGCCCATAGACACGCGGTTCCTGTCATACACACCGTAGCAAGGCACCTTTTCTACACATTAAATAATTCAATAATTCTGGCTGACAGTGTATGTGCCAATGTTTGCTACTAAAGTCCCCTTTGTTGATAATTAGCAACATTTTTTTTTGGAGCTGTGGTGCTCCAGGGCTTGCTAGGAACCAAAAAGTACCTCTACTTCTTATTCCTTGCACAAAGAACATGTTACTGCTTTTGCTGATTGTTTCCCAATGAAAAGGTATTGCCTGACCAGCCATCTCTTACACAGCCTTTGCCACCCCTTACTGTCAGCCTCCAGCTTCCCTGCAATTGCCCCCGACACCTCTGTCCCCACTGGGTGGGAATGGACACCATGAAGCCAAATTCACACCTGGGAGCAGCACAGACTGGTTGGTTTCCTCTGATCCATCACAACAGATCAGTGGCAGAAAAGTTTAGTGCAAAAATAGATGTGAGAATTACTTGTCAAACTTCAAAGTTCGGCTTCTGGATATAACACTGAAAAAGGGTTGTTTAACAGAATATAAGGAATATCATTCTCATCTCCATCTGAAGAGGTGTTTTTCCTACCTTCTTCAAATATACGTCAGTCAGGAATTCCTTGATATCACCTAATACCTGACAGAGTTGGTAGACTTGTGACCTTCCAAATTGTCCCCGACACTTTGTCATTTTTACTTCTTTATAACCTTTTACACATATATTGGTACAAATACCACTGACTGCTACAGCTACACATACAAAGAATAGCAGTTCAGACCTGATCATCCAGGAGATACAGAAACTATTAAAGACCTTTGCACTCTCCTAGGAGTTTCCATTTGTCTATAGAGTGATTTTTCTATTTGTCTTGTTCATCCTGACAGCAAAAAGCTCATTAAATACCAGTTGTTCATATATTGCTTACATTGGTCATCTCTATCATGTATTACACAGCACACTAGGGCAGATTTTCTCACCACTCCAGGCATGGCTCCCAAGCTTGGCTATGGATGTGACGCTACAGCAAAACCCAGGATAAAAATCGACACTTCAGGCAAGCAAAACCAGAGATTTAAACCTGGAATGTCTCTCTAAATTAATTCCCCATTTAACTCTCCTGCTGAAGAACTCAACAGCTGTGTTACTACCTAACAGTTAAGAGAGGAAACTTTATGGAAGTATATTCGTGGGAGCTCTTTTTGGAAGACAGTTTTCAGGGGATCAGACCACAAGCTGAACAAAAGATAAAACGTGGAGCAAACCATTGGGCTGAAATAGGTAAGTGTTTTCCAAAAGATTTTGAATGAAACCGAAGTCAAAAGAACTGCTTTTGAGAAGATTCTGATATGCAGCGTCCGTTGGCCATATTGACTGAAAAATATTAATACAAAGAAAAAAAAATAAATTAAGCAATCCTACATATATAACCTTTCCTCTTTTTTCATCTATGATTACCAATGACCTTGACATACATAAATTAAAGAATAAAATTGTGAGATATGCAAAAACCCCAAATATTTCGGTAGATTTTACAATCCTCAGATACTCAAACAGCAAAAGCACTACCGAAGTCATATGTGAAATTTATGCTAGAATTCCTGCAGATCTTAAAATCAATGAGTATGGTTATCTATCATAATACTTTTGGTTGGTTGTTTGGTTTTGGTTTTCTCAGATTTTTCCAATGGCAAAGAAAGATGTGTTAGTACTGCTACAGGCCTAATAATATTTAGATAAAAATACTATTTAGGTTATTTTAAAAATGATGCTAAACTTAAGACAAGCTAGCACAAAGGAGAACATTTGGATTACAGACAAACATGTCAAAGTTTACTGGATCTGATTCAAAGTCAGCTGGGAAGTCCATGGGAAGGCTCCCATTGTCTTACACATCAGCTTTCAATCGAGTCAGTGGAGAGAACGTTATGTACTAAGACCCATTTGTGTCAGCTTCATTCAGTGTTACTGGTTAAGAAGACATTTGTTCCTGGCTTGACTGATATTTTGCCACTGCTTTTACTAATTTCTGTCAAAATTGTAACACTTTCCTGTAGGTTTATCTTTGCAGCTGTTTAGTTATATATGCTTCATATTTAAATTGAAATTTCTTATCATTAAAAAAGCATTTTTGCAGCTACTTTGAAGGGAAAAACCATCAGAAATATTATCAGAAGATTTAAAAATAAGATTAATTACTACAGTTAAGACATCACATAAAACCATACCATACCAACATTATTCCAGAAGCTATTCAAAGACTTCATTTGTAGTAATTTCAAAGACCAAAGAACCCTACTAATTCAAAATATCTCCCTTTCCAGTGATTTCTCTTTTTCCCACTCAGCATTAGGATGTTCTCTTGAAAATTTTCATAATGTTTTGCAATTGTAGATATCATCTTTTAATTAATTCACCAACAACTGCATTCTCTTTTCACAAAAACAGACTGCTCTAGCACCCTTTAATAAGCTGCATTTATTCAAATTAAGGGGTGAAACTCTAGATAAGAAAGATAAATTTGGGTACTAGGCAATTGCTTAGAAACTTTTTATGAATTAGAACAAACGCTTGACTCAAATACTTCATAAAGAATGGCACTATGGGCCAACATTTGTTTGTATTATGTTTAGTTTTATTTGAATAACTCAGTAAAAGCCTAATTTCAACTTCAGAACTGCTGCTTGGACAATAAAATAGTTTTATGTATAATTTAGGCCTGACTTCAGTTTTGCCTCAGACATATAAAGCACATTATGTAAAAGACAGGAGATCAGTTTTTAAAATAATCTTGCACTGCTGTATTGATGAAGTGATCTAACTTCCTAATTGATCCAGTAGCCCATTACACGCTTTATATCACTCAAGATTGATTAAGTGATAATTGCATTTGATGTAGGTCTTATACCACCAAACAAACAGTTCATCACACCAAAAAATGATGAGACTGCAGACTGGACAATCAATGGATCCATGCAACATATATTTCGTACTCT